GTTATCCTTAAAGTTGGCTATGTGTAAAGAATAACCTTATTCTTCAGATCTTTTCTCTACCTCAGTGCTGAAAATACGGGTCATGACTTGCTGAGAATTAAACCCAGGGCTCAAGCATCTGCCATCCAAACTCCATCTTCATTCCAAGGTCTTGAATATCTGTCAGTCTAGCAAGTGGCTGGGTTTATAGGTCTGTACCACTAGTTCGTACTATGATGAAGTTCTACAGCCTACCCAAAGACTTTCTTGACTGTCCACCTACCTCAGGCTTTCACCCCACTGTCTGGGGGTGGGGAGGCACCCTTTCCGACCAGGGAGATTCTTAGTTGGGTGCTGTTGCCTTCAGGGGAGTTTGAGCAGTGTCCTTTCGCTGCAGGGAGCCGGGAGGAAGAGTAGTTAGTCTAATTATGATCTCTGGCTGCTTCCAACTCAGAAAGCCACCCGTGAGACCCCCCCTCCACCCCCACTGCCGAGGCTGGAATCAAAGGTGTGCACCATCACACCTAACTACTAGCAGTGTCTTAAATGGTCACAATTTGGATATGTGGGTGCTTTGGTACCTGAAGAGTTGATGTCAGTTACCCACTGAACCTGAAGCACAAAGAACAGACAAGGTACCTGATCCATAGAGAGACTCAGGATGTAAGCAAAGGGAATGAATAAATATCCTGACTCTTGTTAGGTATTTTTCAGGAGACCTTTGTTTTGGCTTATTTTTTTTGTAGTTTCAGACAAATGTTTTCCCAACAAGTTGGATGCCTCCCAGTAGAAATGTGACAGGAATCCAGAGGAATTGTTTGATTTGGAAAATGATTAATTTATATATTTAAAATTTTTTTGATATAAGATCTCACCATGTTATTCTGGCTGTCTTAGACCTCAGAGATCTGCCTGCCTCTCCCCAGTCTGGAATTAAAGGAGTGTGCCACTATGTCTGCTTTTTTAAAAAAAACTTTGTTAACTTATGATTCCTAAGCTTTTACAGTATGATTTGGTTGTGCTGTCATAGTAGAAATATTTGCCAGCAGGAAGAAAAAAAATATCTGTCTTGTCATCTCCATCACTATTTTTTGAGAAAGACTACCTATCTAACCTTGACTGGCTTAGAACTTGTATATGTAGAACAGGCGGAGTTCAAAACAGAGCCACTTGCCTTTGCCTCCTGAGCACTGGGGTTCAAGGTGTGCTCCACCACACACCCCAACTACAGTTTACATTTTTGGTAGTGCAAATGTACATTGAGTTTTTGTTTGCTAGTATTAATGCTTGTTTAGAATTGTAAGGTAGTTTTAAAGTTAAGTGTTGGCATGCAGTGGTGGCAAATAGCTTTAGTTCTTTCTAGCACGCACAGCAGGTCGAGGCAGGTGGATCTCTTGAGTTTGAAGTTAGCCTGCTTTACAGATAGATTTCCTCCTGTACAGCTAGGGCTACACAGAAAAACTCCTGACTCAAACCCAAACAAACCAAAAGACATTTTTCCATTTCTTTGTTTTCTGTGAAAGGGTCACAGGTGTCTCTGGTAGGCTACAAACCTATGTTTCAGACTGTGCCCCAAATCTCTGATCCTCCTACCAAGTTGGGAGAGCTCTTAAACTTTCTTTGTGCTTTTTTTTTGGGTAACTCCTTCCTGCTTATACCTGACACTAGTCAGTACAATTAGTAATTGTTTTCTTAATTTCACAGTTGACTTAGTGTAGAGTCCCTTGTGTCTGGTATTGTCTTGTATATTGCACTTGTGAGTCTCTGTCTTCATTGAGAAGAGGGTGGCCCAGAGGTAGGAGTAAAGGCTGTGGACCATGCTGAAGAGAGGAGCTGGAGATTTGGGAAGAGTAATAGGTACTATTTGTGCATAAATTCTTTGCTTATGTGGTGGGTGTAACAACATTGGTGAGGTAATGAAGGTAGAATTTGCTAAATACAGACATGCTGTGTGATAATGGGGAGGCTCAAGAGTTAAGTTTTGTTCATGTTCTATTTGAGACAACCTGCTCAGGATCCAAGTGGCTATTTTGTACAGTCATGTGCCTGTTTACTGGGGTTAGGCTTCCATTTGAGACTCAGGGTGTTCTGTAAGGAGAGATAGATGGTGAGAGGATAGCTATGAAGGCAGACCTGAGAAGACAGGAGAGAGATTTGTGTAGTATGGAGAACTCTCAAATACTGGTGGTACTGGGAGGCCTGAGTTCTGAGTTCCTGAGCGTACATTAGGTGATTTCAAATGATAAGTAGGACAGAAGTAGAAATGAGCGAGTGATTCAAGCCTGTGGAGAAATTGCTAACTGGCATTGACTTTAAATCAGAGTCCATTTCAATGGGTTTGTTGGTTGGCAAGTTGGCAGGTCTAGCAAAGTGTCATAAGAGATTTCCAGATTGTTTTAGCTGAAGGTGTACTCTTCATTTAAGATGAACAGCTTTTGTTGGGCAGTGGTGGCGCACGCCTTTAATCCTAGGACTCAGGAGGTGGAGGCAGGCGGATCTCTGTGAGCGAGATGATGGAGGCCAGCCTACAAAAGCCACACAGAGAAACCATTTCTGTATACCCCAAACGCTGCTTCATATCCTTTGCAGCTACAATTAAGTAACACTTAATTGAAGTAGGGAGGAAGAGGTGTTAATTTTCCTGCTGCTTTTGTTTACTGATTGTCCCTTTTGGTTTCTGGTAGACAGACTGTTACGCTATTGGGTTGTGTGGGAGCTGATTAGGTGTCTTGAGCCACTGAGTTTGGTGGGTTAGTGGTGGGGACTATCTGCACACACTTTGCTAGCAATCCTTATGTTTTGTGTCAATGTAACTTTGTGGTAGGAAGGAGGAAATCTTTTATAATTGGGCGCTCACTACTTTGTCTTTGTCCTGGGAATTGAACCTGGGTCCTGCAAGAACAACGTTTACTATTTGACTCCTGAGCCTTTACTCCAACCCCTAATATATGTACTTTTGAGTCTCACACTTGCTAGAATGGCTCTCTACTATTGGACACTTCTCTAGTCTTTATTCTGATATTATCTGTTAGTTTTTTTTTTTTTTTTTTTTTTTTTTTGGAGAGCATTTCTCTGAGCTGTCCTGGAACTAGCTCTTGTAGACTAGGCTGGCCTCGAGCTCAGAGATTCACCTGTCCCTGCCTCCCGAGTGCTGGGATTGAAGGCGTGCGCCACCACCGCCTGGCATTATATGTATAATTTTGAGGTAGTGTCTCATTGTTCAGAGAGGGCACAAGCCTCTGAAGGGTAGGATAATGGGTGTTTGTCACCAGTGGTATTTATTTGTTTTAGTAGATTCTACTTTTTCATTCTGAATGTCAAAGCTGTTTTTCATGGTCTTATATTTTCTGAAGATTCTTGGAAATTTTTCTTGTTTTCCTTTCCAAGGGTGATAGCCCTTTGAGGAATTATATTACCTGTAGGGCTCTCAATAGTAGCTGCTGCTTTCCTCTCCCTAAAAACAGTAGTTAGAATTAGTTAAAATTAGTCTGTAGATGTTGAATAAGAATTGCATTGCATAAGGAGTATTTACTCCCAACACTTGGGAGGAAGAGGCAGAGGCAGGTGGACCTCTGCGCTTGAGACAAGCTAGAAATTCAAGGGTAGCCGGGGCTACACAGAAATTCTGTCTGGAAAACAAAAAACAAAAAACACTTCCGGTGCTGGAGAAATGGCTTGGTGGTTAAGAGCACTGTTTTCCAGAACCCTGGTTTATTTCCCAGCACCCACATGCTTCAGTTACAGGATATCTGACACTCTCACACAGACATACATGCAAGTAGAACACCAAAGCACATGAAAAATAAAAAGAAATCACTAAAAAATTAGAACAAGAATTGCTCAAGGGAGTTGTGGTTGGCTTTCTCATTTCAGAAAGTAGAGGTATACACATGGGAAATTTGGGGATTGGTAAATGGCTCAGTTGGCACCCAAGTACTGGGATTAAAGGTGTGGCACTATGCCATGCTTTATTTTTGTGGGTGTGTGCTAACGCCCATAGGCAAGAAGAGGACATTGGGTTGCCTGGAGCTGTCCTAGACACCAGGAAGAAACTGAAAGAAGTGGCTGGGCCCTGAGTTGTTATTTCTGGAGAGAGCGGTCATGTGACTTGCAGTCTTAGCAGTAAGAGAGAGCACATACTAGAGGTAGTTAGAAGTGCTGCTCTGTGGAGACCAGGCAGGCAGAATCTGCAGGCCAGGAAAGCTGTGCTCAGTTCCTGGCTGTCAGATGAAGGCACAGTCTGTAGGATAGCATTAGGTTGTGTTGGTTTGGTAGTTGAGTGCTGGACAGAATAGTTACATATGACTGGTCAAACATGTTCTTTTCTGGGTAACTGCATCCAAGGACTGCTGCCATTTCCATGAGAGGTCTGAGGAAGGGTGCTTCTCAGTGCAGGGATAGTGTGTTCTTCCTTCCAGTCTTAACTAATGCCTTGTACAGGAACTCATCAGAGGAGGGAATTAACCAAATCTCAAGTGTATTGTGGTCTAGGAAAGCAGATGTAGCCAGTCCTTTGTTCAAGTGACACCTGATCTTAGCCTCAGAGCCTAGTAACCTTTTCATATCATAACTGAGGCTATTGGGTCATTTCCAAGCATTTTTTATATATAGATTTTTTGAGAACGACTGACACCCCCCCCCCCCCCCCCCCCCCCCCCCAAAACAGAAACAGAATAAACTTTCTCTGTGTATCCCTGTCCTGGAATTTGCTGTGTAGACCAGGCTGGCATTGAACTGAGAGATCCTATTGCCTCTGCCTCCCAAGTACTGGGATTAAAGGTGTGCACCCCCCCCCCCATATGTCTCGACCACACAGGTAGGGGCTGCCACCGCCCAGCTGCAAATGATTCTTCTCAAACAGTTTCTGGACAAGGTCCTACCCTACACATATGGGCTAGTGGGTGGCTACCAGAAGTTCTTTCTTGGCCAGTAGGTGGTGGGAGGGAATCCTTCTTACCTGTTCTTTCACTTTCCACTGTGATTGGACAGTGTTATGAACCTCATTTTTTTTTTTCTTCCAGGATTTGTTCCAACAATCTGTTAAAACATGGTGGATTACTATGAAGTTCTGGGCGTGCAGAGACATGCCTCACCTGAGGACATTAAAAAGGCGTAAGTGTTAATAATTTCTGAAATGTTAATTCTGTACCATGGTTTGCTATTGGGTAATGTAACTCGTGTCAGCCAACCTAAACCTTTTATTTTACTTTTAAAAATTAGATTTATTTTTTGTGTGAATGGTTTTTATTTTTTAAAGAAGGTGGATGGTTCTTAGGTTGACCTCACATGCATGTATACACATACATACATGGGTGAGAAAGAAAAACTTGGTAACCCAGACTGTGTTAAAATAAGAACATTTGCATTTCCATGCTAGAGGCATGCTCCCACCCCCAATTCCAACCCAGGGCTGTTGTTTCTACTGAACTCTATCTGAAATTCTTCCCTATGCTTCAAAAGGTTGGTTTGTTTCCAGTTTAGTCTCCGTGTTCTAGTTTATTTTTGTTTGTGATGAAACATCCTGAAATAAGCAGTAGAAAGCAGTTTCTTTCAGAACATAATCTCATAGTCCATCACTGGGGAAGTGTCATGGCAGGATCCAGTTATGGATGGTTGCATAGATGGCTGTGTTCTTGGTGTGCTCAGCTTGAATTATCTGCAGTTTAGGGCTTCTGCCTATGGAATGATGCTGTTGCTAGTCTTCCCACATCAATTAATTTAATTAAAGCAGCACCCCATTGATGTGTTTTTTTNATCACGTGGGTTTTAGGTATCTAACTTGGGTGGACAGGATTGGTGGGTAAGGGCCTTTACTTATTGAGCCATCTCCCTGACATTTTTTTTTGGTTTTTCGAGACAGGGTTTCTCTGTGGCTTTGGAGCCTGTCCTGGAACTAGCTCTGTAGACCAGGCTGGTCTCAAACTCACAGAGATCCGCCTGCCTCCGCCTCCCGAGTGCTGGGATTAAAGGCATGCGCCACCATCGCCCAGCTGATGTGTTTATCTAAGCTCTATTACCAGTGAAAACTCAGGCATCTGATTGGAGCAAAAACCTGATAGAACAAGAAAGCAGCAGAGGATCAACTAGCTGACCTGCTCTCCACACTTCCCAGATTGAAAAGTGTGAAAAATCCAAGTCCCCCCTCCCTTCTTTCCTGTGTATCTCTCTGTCTTCCTGGCTTCTCTATGGTTAATTCCACACGGCTAGTGGCCGACTCCCTCCCCCCCTTCAAGATTTTTTATTAGAATAGTCTCCAGTGTGATCAAAAATTTTGTAATATTCCTCCCTTTTAAGAGGAAAGGTTTTTGGTTTTTCTCTTTCTTTCTTTCTTTCTTTCTTTCTTTCTTTCTTTCTTTCTTTCTTTCTTTCTTTCTTTTTTTTTTATTTTTCGAGACAGGGTTTCTCTGTAGTTTTTGGTGCCTGTCCTGGAACTAGCTCTTGTAGACCAGGTTGGCCTCGAACTCACAAAGATTCTCTTGCCTCTGCCTCCGGAGTGCTGGGATTAAAGGCGTGCGCCACCACTGCCAGGCAAGAGGAAAGGTTTTTAACTCTAATGAAATAAAACAATATACAATAAGAACAGTTATCAAGTAAGAATTATATTAACAGTGTTCAGTCTATTTCTATTTTGCAAATTTGGAGAAAATGCTCTTATCTATTTCATCTTTTTGAATCCAGTGTTTTATACCTAGGCCACTTTGCAACATGACTTGTATTATCAGCCCAAAATATCTTTTTAGATCTTTTTTAAAAAAATAATTTATTTATGTATTATGTATACAATATTCTGTGTGTCTGCATCCAGAAGAGGGTATCAGATCTCCTTTCAGATGGTTGTGAGCCACCATGTGGTTACTGGGAATTGAACTCAGGACCTTTGGAAGAGCAGACAGTGCTTTTAACTGCTGAGCTATTTATTTCTGCAACCCTGCCATTTGTTAGTCTATAGGTTAGTTTAAATTGAATGGCTTTGCTGTTTGAACTATGACCTCTCCTAGTCAAATGTTTTTAGTGTAATCTTTATCAGTTTTGATGGGATCCATAGCTTTTCTCCTGTGGAAACAAAAGGAGAACCTCTTCCACAATGTATTACATCCTGGTTTCCATTCTGATGTTAACACATAGTTATAATATACAGACTGATTTAATTTGGCAGTTTTTTCTACTAACCAGTGTCTCATTAACACTAAAAAAAAATTTATAGTTAGCAAAACATCATGTAATCTCTATCCTGGGGTCTTTAGTACTCATTTCTTTTTATTAAGCATATCTTGTAAGTACAGTCGCATCTTCTATTACTGCTTATTCTGTAGGATTGTGTAATATGCTTTATGTAATAATATACAAAAAAACCTTTATTAGATACATTTGCTGGAGCATTGTTAGTCTTAATTTGTACAGGTATTCCCATAATGGCCATAACTTCTAATAAACGTACAATTAATCACAGAATCAGCTTTTTCAGAACGTAAAGCAGTAAATAAGTTGCCTGCTGAAATCCTCAATATATACATATCTATGGTATGGTGCATACTTTAATTTCCCAAACTCTGCAAAATGAAACACACTCATTTGCCCATTTACCAAATTTATTATTTCTTTGGGTGCTCTCTGGGATACTTCCTGTAGTAACTTTGTTATAATTTCTTTTATAATTTCCTTAGCTTGTTGCCAAGTGATAGAAAAGTCTTTCTCAAAACCCTTTTTAAATGAATTTCTTAAGTTTCTAGCATATTTCCTACCAATAGGTGGTCATTTTATCATTACTGTGCAAAAGAGTCATGGAGATCCATTATCGGATCTGTTATGTGTTATATACAATGGATCTTTTTCTTTTCTTTTTTTTTTTTAGTTTATTCAACTTATATATTTTATATGCATTGATGTGAAGGTGTGGGATTCCCTGGAACTGGAGTTACAGACAGTTGTGAGCTGCCATGTGGGTACTAGGAATTAAACCTGGGTCCTCTGGAAGAGCAGCCAGTGCTCTTAACCATTGAGCATCTCACCAGCCTCCACAATGGATGATTTCTATTTTTGCTTACTTGTTGTAGTTGAGTAGATAACAAAGTTGATTGTGCATCATCTAGAGTAAATTCAGTGGTTTCAACATATGAAACAACTCTTCATATTGAGAGTAACTCAGTTAAGAGACTCTGTAATTCTCACTTTTGAATGGAGTCTTAAGAACTTTGAGTCACTTATTTTTCCTGCTTTAGAAAACCTACCTTTCAGCTAGGTGGTTGGTGGCACATGCCTTTAATCCCAGCACTCAGCAGATCTCTGTGAGTTGGAAGCCAGGCTAGTCTATGGAGTGAGTTCCAGGACAGTCTCCAAAGCTATGCAGAAAAACCCTGTCTCCAAAAACAAAACAAAACAAAACAACAACAACAAAAAACCACACACAAACCCGCCTTTCCTGATTTATTTGCATCAGTATAGAATGTAGGGGCTCTGGAAGTTGTGTTCCTTGAACAGTGTGAGGCAGGATCCAGTTCTTTTTATAAACTGAAGTCTCTTGCTTGTGGGATATTTGCTCCAAGCTGCTACCAAGGAGATGACCGCAAGCTCTCTTTTTTTTTTAAATGTTCATTTTCTGCCCATAGTGAGGTGATTTCAGCATTAGTAAAAGGTACCACAATTTCTTTTGGGTCTATTCTTGCTAATTGAGGAAGTCTCAATTTTTCTTTCAAAATCAGTTCAGAAACATTTTCTACATAGGTCTTTATTTTACTCTGTGTGATTAAAAATATTCATTCTAAAATATCTTCTCTCTTAAGAATTCCTATAAAGATAATGAATAGAAGGTAAAATGCAGTCAAGTCTGGATCCAGGAGATACATGTGGGTCATTTAATTTATCTTTTCCAGAGCCAGTTCTCCCCCTCAAGCCCCCCCCCCCCCCCCCTTATTTTTTTGGTCTATAAACCAGACTGGCCTCGCTCATACCACCCCAGGCCCCAGAGCCAGTTCTTGTACTATTTAAGTCCTTATCACCTTGTAAGTTTTGAAATAAATTGCTTCGTTCTTGAATTGTTAATCCAGTATGGTCCATAGCCAGCTAATATTCTCCAGTGATTTTCGAAAAATCATGTGCTAACCCTATTTACTTGGTTTAAGGGTATGTGTCCTTTTTTTGTTTGTTTGTTTAATTCCTTTGAGACAGGCTTTCTCTGTATCTTTGGAGCCTGTCCTGGAACTTGCTCTTGTAGACCAGATCTGCCTGCCTCTGCCTTCCCCCAAGTGCTGGGATTAAAGATGTGTACCATCACCGCCGGACTTTTTTTTTCCCTCTCTCCTTGCCCTTTTTTTGAGACAGGGTCTCACTGTGTATAGCCCTGACTGGCCTGGAACTCACTATGTAGAGCCAATTGGTCTGAAGGCACAGAACAGACTCTTGTACTTTGCCTCTCAGTGCTGGGGTTAAAAGTATTCACTACCACACCCAGCTGCTTATGTTAGTAAAGTTTTATGGACTTCATGTGTGCTCATTATATACCCATTTCATCTTTCCAGGTATCGGAGACAGGCACTTAAATGGCATCCGGACAAAAATCCTGAAAATAAAGAAGAAGCAGAGCGGAAATTCAAACAAGTAGCTGAGGCATATGAGGTGTTATCGGATGGTAAGTAGCTCTGAGCGTGTGAAGGACTCTGAGAGGGGCTGAGTCAGGACAGGCCTTTCCAGAGATAGATGAGCACAGACACAGGGTTTGTTTGCTCCCACCTAGATTGCTCCCTTTCCAAAGGTTTTAATTTTCCTGTGGCCTTGCATCTGTTGCAGTTAACCACCAGTGTGGGGAGCTAGAGGCTATGGGAAGATTTTCCTAGGGCTGGAGTTGAGAGGGAGAGGTTGGGTTTAAGAACTCTTGTGTCCACTCCTGATCATCTTGACCTTATCTATATTTTACTGAAGGAGGACTTTATTAATGGGATTTTACTACTTGGATAATTTAATTAAACTTTGATTCCCTTCTTTATATCTAGAGCATAGGAATTAGGAGAAGGGTTGTGTTTGCAATTAGGTGAAGGATCGATTAGCTGTCAGTTAGGGGCACCCATCAAGTTTGTGTTTATGTTAAAGGAAAAATTTTATATCTACAGGGCTGGGGACAGAGACTAGAAAAGTACTGCCCACATCCTAAGCACTATCCTGCTAGGTGGCCTGGCATGAGTCAAGGCAGAGACTTGACTTGAAAGGGTTAGGTACTGATTCACTAACCACAGGAAACAACGAATAGGTTACTAGCTTTAAAAATCTGTTTCTAGAAGGAACCTGAGGTAAAACTCACCACAGCAGCTTACCGCATACAACCCCTTGCATTTTCTGTACTCTGACGTGTCCCCTTCTTTCTCATTTTAAAAGGCAATCCAGCAAACTACTTCACAAGTATCTATTTTTTTTTTTACTTAATAAAGACACTGATAACTGAAATCCTACAAATTTGGTCTTAATACTGTTGGGACTTTTGAGCTCTTGTGGCTAGAGCATAGGCCTCAGCTTGTGCCACTGTTTTTATAAGGGCTCTTATTAAAAATGGGTGGTTCTTATTTTGTTTCCCCTGTTGTAGAATGAGACTTTTGGGGGAGGGCAGAAGGATGAATACAAGTGGCAGCTGTGCTTTTGCGGTCCTACTCTGGGAGTGCAAAGGAAGCAGGGTGTGTGTGGATACCAGCACAGCACCTGTGAGCTACCAGTGCCTTGCACAGGCAGTCTCTTATGGAGTGTGCTTACTGCTTTCCACGCTACTTAAAGTTCCCTGGAGTTTGTGGGGAAATTTGTAGCGCTTAAAAGTTTGCCAACTAGGGGCTGGAGAGATGGCTCAGCAGTTATGAGCATTGCCTGCTCTTCCAAAGGTCCTGAGTTCAATTCCCAGCAACCACATGGTGGCTCACAACCATCTGTAATGAGATCTGGTGCCCTCTTCTGGCCTGCAGGCATACATGCAGACAGAATACTGAGAATACTGTACACATAATAAAAAAAAATCTTTAAAAAAAATTTCTTCAAAAAGTTGGCCCACTAGTGTTTCAGGAAAGAGGGGAGAGTTAAGTAAGTCTCCTGCCTCTTTTCTATTAAACTCTGAACCTAGATTTAAAACTTGGGAGAAATACTAACTGAATTTTGAGGGTTTGAAAGAACTTGCCCATAATAACTTTTTTTTCCCCTCAAATTTAAAGCAAAAAAGCGGGACATCTATGACAAATACGGCAAAGAAGGATTAAATGGTGGAGGAGGAGGTATGTCAATAGATTTTCTCTTTGAAGACATAGGTCTTGACCAAGTTGTCCTTATTTGTTGAGTTCATGTGATTTGTACCTGATACTATCATCAATACAGGTTAGCCTAGAAAGTGGCAAATTTGGGTAGACATAGAGAAATGCTTATAATCTTAGCACCGTGGGGGACTGAGGCAGGACAGTGCCTGTCAATTGAGAGCCTGCCTGGTGGGTCACGGTGTGATTCTAGTCCTGTGTTTTGCCTCCTTAAAGGAAAAAAAGAAGAAAAGAAAAACTGAACCAAAAGAGACTTAGATAGGAGCTTTGAGAGTTTAGGGCCAGCCTGCTTCTTTTACATAGTGAGACTTGTCCACGCATTTGTCAAATTAGGATATTTATGTTGAGGTATATATTGTGATAGATAACCTTACTGTGTTTTCATCAGTGAACCTATTTAAGTTTAAGCAGCACACACTGCCTGTCTTATGAAAATGGTGCTCAGTAAATGAGTTGCTTCATCATGGTCCTTAGAATTCTTGCTGTGGGGTGCTGGAGAGATGGTTCAGTGGTTAAGAGCACTGGCTGTTCTTCCAAAGATCCTGAGTTCAATTCTCAGCAACCACGTGGTGGCTCACTGCCATCTCTATGTAATAAGATCTGGTGCCCGCCTGCAGGGATACATGCAGACAGAATACTGTATACACAATTGATAGATAAATCTTAAAAACAAAACAAAACAAACAACTTTGACCTAATATGCACAAATTGTACCTATGGAGAAATTGGTGGAGTAAATATATTATTTGCTTTGGCTTCATAAGCCTTTATGATTAGTGGACAATGATTTATTGTTTTGGAGATGGAAGCAGTTCTGTGGACAGATTGGGAAAGAATTAGACCTGCGCACACAATGCAGTCAATGCTAGGCAAGTGCAGTTAGCATCAATAAGGCTGTGGTGTTTAGAATCCCAGATGTATGGAATATTTTCTCTTTTAGACCATGAAGCATACAATGATTGAACAAATGTTGCTTAGAAATGCCAGAATTCAAAGGCCAAACACTTTACTGTGCTTGAATAGGTGGAAGTCATTTCGACAGTCCGTTTGAGTTTGGCTTCACATTCCGGAATCCAGATGATGTCTTCAGGGAATTTTTTGGTGGAAGGGACCCATTTTCATTTGACTTCTTTGGTAAGTAACTACTTCTGTCCATCCTTCTGTCTGGCTTGGTGAGATCTTGGGTGCCCTTTGCACTTAATACTGTGCCATGTTACTAATCTTTATTTTCACAGACCAGTGGAATCAGTTATTTTCTGCTAATCTTTTCAGAGCTTTTGAATTTGTGACTTAAACAATAAAAGAGTTTAGTGTATTTTTTCCACTCTTCCATGTATATTGTTGTATTTTAGTTCATTTGTTTTTGCCTTCCAGTGAATTCATATTTGGCACAGGACAGGATGTTGGAAATCTGATCTTAAATGTTTCATCTTGTTTTAAAGAATTTTATTTTTTCTTGTGGTGTTAAGGATTTGAACTCAGGACCTTGGATATACTGACGACTCTTAGTACTGAGCTACCACCACTCCACGAGCTAGCTAGTTTGTGTATCAATTTGTGAGTTTGTGAGATTCACTAAACATCATAGATGTTGTTCAGAATATACAGGTTCCATAAACACAGCCTTTTCTAACTTACTGCAGTCTACTTTGGAGTTGTGAAGAGGGGTTGCCCCTAGAGCAAGACAGGAGGAATCAGGAGTGTTGATTGTGATCTTGTTAAAGGAGATGGTGTTAGGTGAGCAGCTGTTGGATTGTGGGAAATAGATTTTCCCATCTTGTGCCTTGATGCCCGACCCTATGCCTTTTCCATATCTTTGTTGGTTGCCAGTTACTAGTGATGTTCTGTATAGTTGAGACCTATTTGAGTGCTTGACAGGGGAGGTCAGGGTTGGATGTGCGGTTGGGGCCTCTTGTCTGGATGCACTGAGAGGGAAATACATCCTGTGTGGCTGAAGAGACTCGAACATCACCAGCAACTTCACAAGAGGAAAAAAGACAATTTTGTCTACCAGTAATACCAGAGGGAGACAGGAGGGAGCCCTGCACGACTTGTTGTAGTTGTGAAGAGGAACAAGTCACCCTGGATCTGGTAGGTTTTAGACTTTTCATGTTGTGATCCTGTAGTAGATCTCAGTGTGTTCCCGCATGCATTTGATTGGTTTTCTATCTTGCCTTCCCTTGGGAAGGAAAACAGTGAATGTGTCAGAGAGCATGCTCATTCCTAACTGAAACGAAATAGGAGTAAGATCTTAGGAGTGGGAGAAAGGTTGCTGCAAAAGTGAGGTTAGGGATGGAGTGGTTTGATAGAAGACCACACAGAAGGTTCCCTTCAAACAAATTAGTGTGACGCCAATAGCACAAAGATTGTGGGGCGTTTTAAGTTACAGATTAAGGAATAGCCCACTAGTAGTACACAGTATGAATTTGGCTCATCAGGTAAAGAAATCTGTCACCAAACAGGACCTGAATTTGGTGCTTGAGTATTTGTACAGGAACACACTAATAAATAAATGTGTGTTTAAAAAGATGTAATGATTTAAAGTCTCTAATTCTAGCCTTTATGTACATACTTCAGACAAAGTAATTTTTTTTTTATTATTTATTATGTATACAGTATTCTCAGTACTCTTCCTTCAGGCCAGAAGAGGGCACCAGATCTCATTACAGATGGTTGTGAGCCACCATGTGGTTGCTGGGAATTGAACTCAGGACCTTTGGAATAGCAGGCAGTGCTCTTAACCACTGAGCCACCTCTCCAGCCCCAAAGTAATTTTTTTTTTAAAAAATATTTATTTATTTATTTATTATGTATACAACATTCTACCTCCATGTTTGCCCACATGCCAGAGGAGGGTGCCAGATCGCATTACAGATGGTTGTGAGCCACCATGTGGTTGCTGGGAATTGAACTCAGGACCTCTTGAAGAGCAGCCGGTGCTCTTAACCACTGAGCCATCTCTCCAGCCCCAGACAAGGTAATTTTTAATAGAAGTGAACATTATTGTATCCTATGTCACCTGAATGTTGAAGTGCAGATGTAACTAAGAAACTAAAACCAGCTAGATGTGATCATGCTCAGCTGCAGGACCAGCTCTGTACTCTTGTCTCTAGAAGTAAAAACAACAATAAAAAGTTAGCCATTAGTAAATTCCACCTTGTTTTGTGGTGGGACAGAGTTGTGTTGGATAGTCTGTTCTGATGTCTTTGCTGAGTAGAACAGCTTGTCTTCTGCAGCTTGGCCATTCATAAGATGAAGGAGGCCTACTTTTCTTTTTCTCAAGAGGTTAGGCTTCCCCTTGATAAAGAAAAATTGAAGCCTGTTGTGCGGTGCACATTTTTATAATTCAGAACTTGGGAAACTGAGGCAGAAAATTAATTTGAGACCGTTCAAGGCTACATAGTGGGTTTTTGTTTGTTTTTGGAGTCAGTACTTCTCTGTATTACTGCCTTGGAACTTGCCCTGTAGATCAGGATGGCTTCCAACTCACTGAGATGATTCCCCCCCTGCCTCTTCCTCCCTGGTGCTGGTATTAAAGATAAACAACACCATGCCTGGCTTCATAAAGTCTTGTAAACAACACCAAAAGACTAAAAACAACTCAAATATCATCTGGGGCGGATGTTAGTGGTGATGCTTGCCTAGTATGTATGAAGCCTGGATTCTGTCCCTAGCAACGTCACAGGAAAGAAGTTTTGTGTCTGTATGCTCACATGCTCGTTCCTTTTTAGTCAATTACATGGTCCATGATTGTTTTCCTTGAGAAAAAGAATCTGACATTCCATCTAGCCTTTGGACAGCTCTTTTATTTTGAAGATATATAGTAGAGCTTTTAATTAGATAAACTTAGGTTTTTATCAGTAGTGCAAGAATGTATTAGGCTTGCTGAGGTCTGTTCTATCTCAGGTATCGGTCAGGTAGGCACTCCCTTCCTGCATTGCCTTGATGAGTGTGGCAGTGATACTTCTTCAATCCATTCTTGTAGGTCTTCTAGGGGACTTCCATTTTCAGGCAGTAAGGATTTTCGCACAGGAAAAGAAGCTGCTCCATGGCTACTACGTGTATGAGGTGACCGTGCAGCCTGCTGGTGGTATGTGGAGTGCAGACTGGGTCCTTCATGCAGGGCTGGGGACCTAGTACATGGCCAGCAGCATCCAGAGTCCTTGTAAACCCAGTCACAGTCTATTGATTGTAGCCAGTTAATTTTCACCTTAAAGTTTCATACACCCAACTTCTATATTCCTCCTATATTTTGGGGGAGGTGTTTGGTTTTTCTGAATAGTTCTAGATCTATTATAAATAGGCTGGATATAGTGAAATGTAGTGTGCTTGTTTTAGCTACTGGGAGACCGAGACAGAAGGTTCCTGAGTTTGGGGCTATTCAGAGTTTTATAGACCCAATCCCTATCCCTTTTCTGTCTCCCCAAAAGTCATTTTTAAGATTTTGTTTTAAAGCATAGTCCAGGCTGTTCCTGTATTCCTGGTCAGCCTTCCATGTGCTGGGATTGATCACACAATGTCCTTATGTTCGGTGGTTAGGTACTGTTGAGCTAGCACACTGTGCTCAAAATTTTCAGGTCTCTTACTCTGGTGATGGGGTCTTCAGATTTAGAGACTTAGAGCAGGAAGATGCATTGAAATCCTGCAGGAGATGAAACACCTTTCTCTGTGATCAGCCATTTTTTCAGGAGTGCCTGTATAGGCACTTCCCACAAGGAGCTCAGTAGTGGAGGGGATGTATGTGGAATGGCCTTTACATTTCCCAGACTATGGGTCTCACCCACAAATGAGCCTTTCTTGAAATATTGATTGAAACAGGAAGTGTATTAATTTGAATTAGGATGATCTATCTATCTCTTCATGTGTTTTACTAACCCAGAACAGCACTACTTGTGTCCTGGTTATGTAAATCTAGTAGTGTAAAACTGACAGTTACCCAGTAGTGGTCTTTTGATTCTTATTTGTCACGACAGGAAGTATTTCTTAGAGAACTGTGGGTTGCACGCCACATTTTATTTTTGTTCTCACTTTAGAACGTCCAAACTGCCTTTGTCGTTGTTGGCAGAGGATCTTTCCTCTCTCTCCCTTGACCACTTAGTGTGTTCTTTCTTCACAAAGTCTTGTGAACTCTGGGGAAGGAAGAGTAGGCTACTGGAAAAGCCCATGGTGAGGAGAACCTTGGAAAGAGACCTTTTGGGGGAGGGCGATTGTATGGAGGGTAATTTTCTGAGCCATAAATTTACTGTAGTGAGTCAGTCATTTTACTCCCCAGGATTCGAGGAAGTGGCCAGTGAGGACTTGGAGCCTAGTGAAGAACTAGACCAGCCCTGTTTTGAGGAGTCAGTAGAAGACGCCCTGAGTGACGAGCACAGTGAGGTTTTGGATGTGATATCCAGTGAGGAGCTGGACCTTAGTGAAGATGAGTCAAGTGAAGGCTGTAGCTGGGGCCAGGGCGGACTTCTCAGTGAGGACCTGGACCTCGTCTCCAGCGAGGAGGAAGTCAGTCTCGGGGATGCCGAGGAGCTCAGCGAAGAGTATGAGGAGCTGCTGAGCGAGGAGGAGCACAGTGGGCCGGAACCCGAGGCGCTGCTTGTTCAACAATAAACAAAAAGAAATGGCCTGGGTCTCTCTTTTATAAAAAGATTTATTTTATTTAAAATTTATCTAGAATAAAAAGAAATTGCTTCTATCACCACCATGTTGTATGTGGTCAGATTACCAGAGTTGACCTGGAGACCAGGGAGGGGAGGAGGCCCAGATGCTCCAGGCCAACCCTCTTTGTAGGATGACTGGGCTAGCAGCCCAGATTGCTGTAACAAGACTCAGTCGTAGTGGTTAAACAACAAACTTCTCCATGTGCATGTCCAAGGTAAAGGTATGCCAGGGTCTCCTGTAGCTGAAGCAGATGTGACTCTGCACACCATCTCGCAGGCAAGTTTCTTCTGTGACCATGCTGATCTGATCCCTGGTCCATGAGTTCATTTGATCCTGGTTACTTCAGGGAGATAGCTACTAGTAAGAGCTCTGCAAGACTCTGAGTTGTTTAGGTTTAAATCCTAGCCTATAGTTTAGGAGCTTGTAATAAACTAAGAAGTTTATTACTAGACTGGGGATGTTCGAAAAGTTGGAAGTTA